AATGTCGGCCGAGCAATTTGGACGTTTTATCAATTGCTCGCTCCGCTTGCTGCAAGTACAGCATTAAAGCCTCATTCGAGCGGATGTATGGAGTATTGCCCGAGCGCTTTTACTTGAAGGCAGCCAAACTATGCAGTGAGAACAATATTCACATTAGCTGGCACTTAGATGATTTTGTTTGTCCTAATGGATGTAAACCAGAGGACGATCACCATGTGTTGTCTTCATTGATCCCTCTTTCAAAAGGTAATGTTGATCATAGTTCTCGGCATTTAGCAGAGCATCTGGATGACGAGTGGGAAGTGGATGAGAGCCACTATGTCATTGACTCGCAACAATTAAAATCTAGGACACTGCAAAATGCTATTGTCTTGTGTGAAGACATAAGCTTTGGGCGTGAATCAGTTCCTATGGCTTGTGTGGTGGATGAATGGCTTTTGGATTCTCTTGATGTTGTTGGAGCTGAAGGCCAAAATGCCATATGTTCCATGCCTTGGGAGAGCTTTACTTATGTTACGAAGCCAGTAGTTGACCGATCTGCTGCCTTTGAAACAGAGGTAGGTTTTTGTGTGTTATAAAAAAGTAGTTTGTACCTATCAAGAATGAGCTCATGACAATTCAATGTCCTTTCCTTTTTCTTCTTTTCTGAATATGCAGAGTTTGCAATTTGGGTGTACTTGCAAGAATTTTTCATGCAGACAAGAAGCATGTGATCATGTATACCTTTTCGATAATGACAATGAAGATGCAAAAGACATTTATGGAAGGTCCATGCGTGGAAGATTCCCCTATGATGAGTTTGGTCGCATCATACTGGAGGTACTGTTGAGGTTAACAGTCTACTAGGTCTTTTGTTACTTGTGCTAGGGTCTAATTACTCATAGAAATACTTGAAGGTGCTGTCAGCTGCAAAAAACGAAAGGGCTTTTTAATGAAGTTGCTGATTGTTAAGCATTTGGAAATGCTTAAGTGGACTCATGTATGCCAGTTGTAACTTGTGCAGCATGAAAAAAGTTGCATATCTAATCCTTAGGCAGAATTTGTTTCCTGTAAATTGACTTAATGCTCAAAAAGTTGCCTCTTTTTGATACATCGTACATTAGAATCAGAGATTGGTGTCATAAAATTTCTGTCAAGCATTGGGCTTTGGAGTTTTCATTCTCCGTTCTCATTGTTCCATTTTTTGGTTTAATTCCAAAGTCCCACCTATGTTTCCTTTATCCTTTCAAATTTTGCAGTCAGGCCTAACCTTTTGATTTATTGCAAGCTCCCCTTGTAAGACATTGTTTCTGTTAAAGATTAATGTGCCCTATTTGCCTGCATTGTACATAAATAATACACGCATTAATTTTTTGGGCAAAAGTTATGGCTAAGATTGGCAATAATAAAAAAAATTTAACAGAACTAATATAGTTTCCTTCATTATTAATAAATAAAGAATATTGCAGTATTCACTTGCAGCAAATTGAAGCTACTTTACTTTCACTTCCATTTCAACTCAATGAAGTTTCAGAAAATACTTTCAACTTAATGATGGTTAAAGACACTCTGTCTAAGAAAAGCTCCAGTGGCATTTTTATTACTTCTCAGACACAGCCTTATGACAAAACACATTGACTCTTTCTGAGCAAAGTCTTTACTGGAATTCGGAAGACTTCACAGGTTTGGAGGTACAAAAATTGAAAGGATGGTTGACATCGTTACAGATTCGATAAATCAGGATTGCAGTTGCAATTAAGCCTTGCTTTTTTTTCGCTCTTAACTTCCTTTGTTTGCACCATCTCCATGTAGCTCATAGTTAGAGTCTAGTTGATGTGTATAGCTTTGTGATTCATTGTCTTTGAGCCCCAAGTCATACATATTGCAAACTTATGCAGGAGGGCTACCTTGTATATGAGTGCAATCGCATGTGCCGCTGCAGCAAGACTTGTCACAATAGAGTTTTGCAGAGAGGAGTTCGGGTAAAATTGGAAGTCTTCAGAACAGAGAAAAAGGTAATTCTGATGTTCTTGCCCTGAGGAGTCTATTGGTTTGCTGATTATGTCAAATTGACAGGGTTGGGCAGTCCGAGCAGGTGAAGCAATCTCACTAGGAACATTTGTATGCGAGTATATTGGGGAAGTTTTAGACGACTTTGAGGCAGATAATCGGCGCAAGAGGTACCTTCTTCTCAGGCCTATCCAGTTTTGATGGTTAATGCTGGGTTGTAGAAATATGTATCAGCTCCCAATTTTTGTGCTTCAGGTATGATGGCAAAGAAGGTGGCAGTTATCTCTATGACATCAAGTCCCATATAAATAATACGAGCAGATTAATCGAAGAAGAGGTCAAGTATGTGATTGATGCGACAAAGTATGGAAATGTTTCTCGTTTCATAAATCACAGGTAGGGTACATGTGTTATGAAATTGACTCTTCTAATTATCTTATGTAGTTTTAGTCAATAAATGACGTGTTATCATATACACTGATTGACTAATGTAAATCTATGAATATCTTGCCCTAAAGTGACTCTATGAATATTCAAATGAAAGTGTGGAAGTCATAATGGAAAGAGTATAGACATCCTCGATATCCTGTGCCAATTATTTGCACGTCCTAGTATTTCTATAGGTTGCCTCAAAGATACGGAAGGAGATAGGTTTTTGAGATTCAGCTATATGGCTTTGAGATAAAGCAGATAAGGGAGGATGCACTTCTTGAGAACTAGACAAGTCGGAAGACTACAATTACAGTGACAATCTCCTGTCACATGCAGCTGTATTGATTAACATGTTGATTTTGTAGCTGTTCGCCTAATCTATCGAGTCATCGAGTTCTTGTGGAAAGCATGGAAAGCCATCGTGCACATATTGGTTTATATGCAAGCAGAGATGTAAGTGCTCCCTGGGATCCTCTTTTTTTTCATTTTTTTAAAGCTTTGTTTGCAATTGAGATTGCCAAGGTACTATTACGTTCTCATACTGTACCTGTATACTCGCTTCTCCGATTTGATGACGAAAAGAACCACATTTCAAGAGGGTGTTCTAGACTACCTTTTCATTCCTAGCAGTAGATAGGCCATCATCCTCAGAATTGGTTTGTTTTGCATGCTACAGAGTCTTTCTTTAAATGGGGATTCTCTTTTTTATTATTACTGTCAGTTTATTTTTTTGCTTCCATTCTCTAGGTCTGATGTACTGAACATTGCCTTCTTCATTTTCTTTTTCGATGAGCAGATAGCTTCAGGTGAGGAATTAACCTACGACTATCGTTATGAAATTCTTCCTGGAGAGGGTGCTCCTTGCCACTGTGAAGCATCCAACTGCCGTGGTCGTCTATATTGATGTCATGTTCTCGCTGTCTTGCTGGCATAACGAAGTTTTGTCTCGGAAAAAAGATAACTAGCATCGAATCCGCACAGTTTGCAGTTTTCAGATAGGGCGAGGTTGTCGTTATTAGGTTGTGCTGGTACAGTTGTAGACAGTAAACTTTTTTCTGATTCCTTTTCTTCTCTTCGAATTCGCGAAAGTGAGGACAATCCTTTTTCCTTGTCGGGCCAAATATAGTTTTCTTCGTGTCTTGACGTTGATGCCTGTTTTGAATCAGGAAGATACTTGCTTTATCTTGCTCCTTTTACTTCTGCCATGATGCTTAGAAATTGGCAGTGTTGAGATGAGAATGTGGAAGTTACTATCGCTTTTATTATTGGTGTTGTCATTGTTCTTTGCAGACTGACATGATTTAATACTCGAGCTCGACTCTGCTCTACTCGATTATGCACAACTTGACACTCGACCCAAGTTTGATTTCTCACGCTCGACTCTGACTCGCTAAAGTTTCCCCTGAACTTGAGCTCGAGTTCGATTCGATTTGAAATTAAACTTTAGTTCTAAAGTTGAGTTAAGCTTATATTTTAGGCATTTCGAGTTGAGCTCCCACCAGAGTTCAGGCTCGAATTCTAGCGCGAGCTAGAACTCTAAATGCAATGAAATTAGAAGAGAATGTCATGTATCTTTTTATGATGTATACAGTTTTTGGTGAGTGTATCATGTATGGATAAAGTTAAAGTACATGAAATAGTCGATTAGCTCAGAAAGCTACTCGACTCGGCGCATTTTCATATTCGAGCCAAATTGGAGTTCATAATTTGAGCAACTCGAACTTGAGAACAATCGAGAAGAGCGAGCCGAGTTCAAGCAATCGATAAGTTGACGTCGAGGAACTCTCGAGTAGTTCAACTTGTTTACACTTTCCAATAGCAATTGATACCACAAATTTGATTAACAAGAAAAGGAAGTACGCTCAAACAAGAATAGTTGAATTTTTTTTAAAAAGTCTAGAACTTATTGTCTCATACTTAAACTTTTTAGTTTGGTTAATTTAGTCTTAATCATTTTAATGATTTTTCAACGTAATCCTTTCGATCAATTTTGATCAGAAGTCGCTGATATGACACTCCTAACGACGATAGGACTCCTATTAGGTCTTCGAGTGTCGCAAAAGAGTGTTCACAATCACGTCCGAACTGATTCTATAATCAGTTCGCCGGGGCACTCGCCATACCTTTTTTTATTCGTAGCAAAGGAAAGATTAGATCCGATTTTAGTCCTTTTAAATACGACATTATGTAATCAAATCCTCTATCGCCATCGATCACGCGAGCTTTAGAGGGGGGTTAATAAGTCGAGATCAAGAACTGAATCTGGTGGGACTTCACATCTTCATCATATTCCTAACGGAATCATACCGGAGATTAACGCCCGCCGAATCGACTCGATTTCGATCGTAAGAGAAAACCAGTGAACCGGCACATGAATTATAGCGACCGACGTTAACTCCCGTCGCGAATGACTAGAAAACGGAAACAAGAAGATCCGATTCGCAAGAACGCTTTGATTTCAATCACAGAAGTATTTCTATCACATTCATCTGAATACTCCGCAAGCTGATGAAGAAAAGGAACATAAGAACACTTCAGTCTCCGGCCGAGTCCGAAGAACCATGTCGTCGGCGTCCACTTTAGCCGCGCACGGAAACGGAAGGTTGAAGACAACCTGTCGACAAACGATTAAGAACCGTCGCCATTGCTCTTCTCCTTCTTGCCCTTGTCCTCTCCTTCCTGTCCCCCTCCTTCGACGACGACCCGGTGGCGGTGCTCCGCTTCACCCTCCACCACCTCTTGGTTCGCCGAGCCACCGTCTCCTCTTTCCGGCTAAACTTGTAGCTCCTCAGAAACCTCTGCCGGCACGCGTACCCATCGACGACGGGGTCGTCGCCGACGACGGCCTCTTCCCTCGAGCTCGCGCAGATCGTCCTCAAGAACCTGGCGTCGGACTCGGCCCACTGACAGTGCTTGACCAAGGCCATGCTTATCCTTCCCGGGTTTTGCACCTCCATGCAGTCGATGCAGTTCGTGTTCATCGTCATCGTGTCTCCGAACACCGGCGACTCGATATCTCTCGGTTCGTCACTCGATCTTTCGCCGGCGAATTTGATGAACGTAGAAGGAAGTGAATCTTGATATTTGAACTTGTTGTGAGCTGAGTGTGGATTAGTGCGCAAATATATATAGCGAATCGGGAGTTCGTCGCTTAAAGGAAATTTCCTTTTATAGAAATTTCCTATTATAATGACTATGTCTTGTCTGAAATATTGTTTTTTTTATTTCTTTTTTTTTTTCGTCAACATTTTTTTTTTCCTGACTAAAATTTTGCTATCTCCAGCTGCGTTTTGTAAAATAAAAGGTTTTAAATTTTAACTTTACTATTGAGAAGAGCAATACATATTACTAAGCAAATTAGTACATTTTTTTAAAAAAAAAGAGAAAATCGCAAAACATAATGTTCTGTGATTTTCATATTAATTGTTTTTCTCAAAACCCACGTCAATTTTGAGGTTCGGACTCTCGCGTCTTTCATTTCAAAAGAAAGAGATTCAATTAACAAACCAATCGGGAAATGTTTAATAAGCGGAAAAAAGTGATTTGATTTATTTATTAGGTAATTAACTGTTAGAATGTTTAAATAATAAATCACGTCTTCATCTAACAATTTAAGTTTTTAGAACAGTTGGCAGTGGTCTCACGAAATCTCACATAAGCATTGAGTCTTGTTTTCCTTGTGCACCGTTCAACATGAGAATTTATATCAGTGTTCATTACTGAGAAAATCGAGTCAATATATCGATCACGTGGTTTTTACTTTTGACATTGACCCATTATTTATCATGCAATTGATTACAACATCGTTTTCTAAGGTGATCTGTATTAGCCATCGAGCATTTTATATATCACCATATTCGGAATGTGCGTGAGAAAACCAGTGTTGAGGAAAGTAAGAGATCTCCCAATTGATGATGAATGTAAACAAATGTTAATTAAATTCATACCCTGAACGCACATGTACACACATGCATCAAGCGTTATCTCCCTTACCCCTCCCCTCCCCCCGGTACCCCGAATTTTGGTCACATTACACATGTTCGGGGGCATTGGCAATGCGAAAGAGAGAGTTTGTGGTATTATTGTCACGGTGGCCAAAGTTTAGAGTATTTGGTGGTTGATAGAGAGTGTTTTTGTCATATCCTTACGAGTTTAGTGATTTCCGTAACACAAAAAATGTTGGAGGTATTTGTGTCGCAGCGGCGGATATATATAACTTAGGATTTTTTACGGTATTTTCTCTGTATAAAAACAAAGTACTCATGGGTTAAGTTACGGAACATGATCCAAATAGTCTCTAAACTTTGGCCCAATGTGCAATTTGATCCACGAACTTTTAATTTATTTAATGTAGTCCATGAATTTTAGCTTAATATTCAATATGGTCCCTGAACTTTTAATTTGTACAATGTGGTCCCCGAACTTTTGGTACATGTTTGATTTAGTCCCTGAACTATATGAAAATGTTCAATGTATAACAAATTAAAAGTTCATGGATCAAACTGCACACTGGGCCAAAGTTCAGAGACTGTTTGTATCATTTTCCCATCCGGAATATCAAGTGGTTTTGCCACTTATTAAGGAAGGATAAGCATGTAGTTCTTAAATATTAGAGAGGTCTTCTTCATCGAAAACATGACTTCCCGCGCGGCGTGGGACGGCGTTTGAAATCTCCAGGCAAACCTCTTGTTGTCATTCCCCGATCATGGTTTCACATCCTTATATAAACCCCAGAAGCTACAAGCTCTCCAGCCTCTCACCATCTCACTGGACGAGGAAAAATGAAGCTTCAAGCTCTCCTCGTGCCGGTTTTCGATGGTGAGAACTTCGACGTCTGGGGCATCAAGATGATGACCTACTTCAAGTCTGAAGATCTATTGGAAGCCGTCAAGTTTGGAGTATGTGAGTTTTCATCCACGGAAAAGTTGCGAAAGGACGCAAGAGCCCTCTTCACCATCCAACAAGCCCTGACCGACGAAATCTTCCCGAGTATCTACGAGGCGCCGAGCGCGAAGCAGGCGTGGGACATCTTGCAGGTGGAGTTCCGAGGGACCCAAGAGGCGCGCTCGGCCAAGCTCCGGTTTTACGTGGAAGAGTTCGTCCGTGGCGTTAGGATGGAGGGGCCGGAGACTTGTCGGGAGTACTACTCGAGGCTGAGATTGATGGTGAGTAGGATTAGATATTATGGTGGGGGTGTGCGCGAGGAAGCTGTGGTCAGGAAATTACTGGAAGGCCTGCTGGAGGAGCTCGAGCCCTTCGTGAGTGCGATGGGGGTGGCGGGGCATTTGACCATCTCGGCGCCGGAATTGATAGGGTCTTTAGAGGCTTTTGAGATGAGGTTAGGCCTCAGGGGAGGGAGGGGAGAGGGGCTCGGAAGGGAAGTGAATGATTCTGAGATACAGTGACCGTCTTCATCACAGAATGCTGCATTGACTGATACGAAAACTATGTAGCCGTTCGCCCAATCTTGTGGAATCATCAAGTTCTTGTCTAGCATGGAGCGTCGTCTCGTGACAGAAAAGTAGGTATTTCATTTTCACAATTGCGCAACTCTTGTGGTACTCTGCTTGCCGACTTTCCTCGCCCGCGACAATTCAGATAAAGGAAATCCTCAGCAAGGATGTGGATCAAGTTGCGACTAATTTGTCAGTTTTAGACTTGCGTTAATCTCTGTCAGTTCTTGCTTTGTCTTTCTGCCAGTTCTTGCTTTGTCTGTTTTATTTAGCAGTATATGTTAATATGCAGTCGTTTTGGAACCATTTGCCTTTTGGTATGAGCCAGTGATTGTGCCTGTCTTTTCTACTGCAGTCGTTGATCAATTTATACTGAAAATACCACCTTTTAATGAGTTTTATGATCTGCTTTTGGAGCTTTCTTGTGAGAACTCCATGTTGCATAGGTCGGTAACGGTTTTAAAGAAGATAGGCTTCGATACTTGCTTGCAGCATCGATAGAGTTGCATACCATTCCTATTCCGATGTTCGAATCTCTGAGCCAGTGACTTCTAATTGAAAATCTAGGAAAAAATCGCAAATTTGAAGTAAAGACTAGTCTATAGATGACAATTTTCTGATCCTCCACGTAATCTGCCAAGTATTCTAATATCTTTGTACTGCGTTAATGAAAATGGTGAAGTTTTTTCAGATTTATGCTATGCAATACAATATCAAGTGACACGGAAGTGAGGCAGAGAACACGCACTTCTCCAGAACTATGCCTGGAAATGGAATGACTGAGTTACAGTGACCAATCTCTATCACAGAAAGCTGCATTGACTAGTACAAAAACTATGTAGCTGTTCGCCCAATCTTGAACGTGGAGTTTCACAATACTGAGACTCTTGTGGTACTCTGCTTGCCGACTTTCCCCACTATGACAATTCAGATAAAGGAAATCACCGATTAGGTGCCCTCTTGAAATTTCGTAATTTTCTGGACACAGCGCGCATTGTTGGAAACACCATTGCACAGTCTGACTCAATCAATTGAGTGTAACAGAATTGAAAACTCCGAATACCTCCTTTTCCATGTGCTGTACTAAAACTTGCTTCTCTTAATTCATTCAGTGCATTTCTCCTCTCCTTAATGTCATCTGTTCCTCCCACGTTTCCGGAAAGCACGACGAGCAAATGTCAGGCTTCTTCCTCAGGAAGGGGCTCTAGCTTGCTCAGTTCATTGCATTTCATTTGATTGCATACATTCAATGACCGAGTCATTGGGATTGTCTTACAGCCGTCCACACAAAGGGGAATTCCCACGTCCTCTAAGATTATAGGAGCACAATCCATCATCCAGTATAAGGACATGCCTTTGCCTCTTCAATATATGTGAAAGCTCCGCAGCCTATTTAATAGGATTGTTAACATTCGACAGCATATGGTTTAGACGTTCCCACGTCGTATCTTGCAAAGAATGAACGCTACATTCTCGGGACATTGTAATCCAGAAAATCTTCCCGCTGCTGCCTTCCTTTAGAATAAGATTATGGACACGGGTGACAATGGTCGTTTTCCCGACACCCCTCATCCCATAAATGCCAATCTTTAATACTTGGTCGTCCCTCAAGCAAGATATTATCTCTTTCAGATTTTTCCGAAAAGCATCCCCTAACAAGTCCACCCTCGGCAGCTAACATTCTTCAGTACCTTGGGCACTTAGTGTAACTTCACCAGAAAAGTCGCCCCGCTTTCTGAGTTCCTGCACCTCCTCTTGTTTCATGCTGTTCATCAATTTCAAATGTGAAAACCATCTTCATTTGGAAACTTCTCGCTCTGGGGATCAGACTTTCCCTTTTATCCTGTCCACATTCGTTAACCAGCTTTCAACTTCTCTCTTCCTCTCCCGTCCGAGAGCTTAGATTCTCCAAATTTTAAAGTTGAAAGTACATCGGCTTCCAAGTTAACTTTTCCAGTTCACCTAAAAGTGCTTGCTACTTTTTGTCGATATCACTGTTGTTTATGATGACTTGAGCAACGCCGATCACCATTGAGAGGTCCATTTTTTTTAGATGGTAATAAGGACAAGCTTGCAAATCAATCTGAAAAAGGAAAAACCGATACCTTAAGAATAAAAATGCGAGTTTTCTTCTTGAACATAGAAACAACTTCAGCCGTTTGCATTTGGAGAGAAAGGAGGAACGAGCAAAGTTGTCGTTAGATGAAAGCAAAGTTGAAGCTAAAACAAAATCAGAAATTGATTGAACATACTCTCCCAAGTTCCATATCAGCAAAGTAATGGTTTTCATTTAAATTTGATATTAGAATTTTACCTGCCTCCTACATAGTGAGTTAAGATCAGAGACACGTAGGAAATACTTCAGATTTTCAAATGATGCGAAAGGAGTCACAGAACCAAAGCACAGATATCATCAAAACATCCATCTAACGATGCTGTTAACTTTCACAGATTGTAGCTGTACCTTGAGTATTGAGCCAATGAGCAGAAACTGGAGAATGCAACAGAAGCAGATAATGCACTAGATAGTTCCC